GATTAAAACAAAATGGACGGCTGAGATCAAAGGGCAAGGGGTTATTAATAGAACCCCCACACCAGACCACAAACCCTAGCCGCCTGCCGCTCGCCGGAGAAGACGAACCAGAGGCCGACCGCCGCCACCCGCTGCCGCACCCGGGGAAATTTTCGACCGCCGATCGAGGTAAATTTCATACCCCCGACTCGTTTTTCTACGCTGATTCCTCCTATGGCCAAATCGAAGCCAAAATCCCGGCAAACGGCCGAAATACGCGGCGAAGACCAGCGGCGCCGCCGCGCCCCCTCTCAGTTTTTGCCTCCGACGAGGCCCTTCCCGGCCTCCGTTTGATGCAATTTTTATATCACCGTGATCACCATTCTTTTCTCTACAGGTTGACCAGAGCCGAATCACCAAAACACGAATCTCGCCGGAGAGCCGCCACACCCGAGAGCGCCGCCGCCGGTAAGCTCCGTTTTTCCGTGATTTTTTGGCCCCCCGAGGGCCATAGGGTTGTTTTCTCACAGGGACCGATGCGAGTGTGGCCGAATTCGGCCGAAAACGGCCGAAAACAGCCAACTCGAGGCGACTCGCCGCCGCCAGCGGCGGAGCCGTCGCCGGAGCACGGCGGAGCCGCCGTGCCGGAGTTGCGATTTGGGCCGAAAGAGGCCCCGGGCCTAATTTGGGTTTTTTTTTGGAACACGTGCAGGTACCGTTAGTGTGTTTCAGTTCCCCGGGAAAAATTCAGGGAAAATTAGGGACGGCCTGTAAGCGCACTGTGAATCGTATTCGGATCCTGAAAACAAGTAAGGACCCCTCACCCTATTTCCTATCACGGTATTAAAGTTCAAAATGATAAAACGGTATCTCTTGAATTAACGCATGTGTGAAATTGCTTAAGGTTGCTAATGGAGCCCGAGTCTAGTGTGATTGATGATTTACTGTTATTTGGCCTGTTTTACAGCTTTAAATGCATTATGAGGTTTGATGTGTTCATTTTATAGTTTCGAGTGCATATAATACTGTTTTATTAATTATGGGTTGAAAGACTGAAGAACTGATACTGTATGTTGTCTGTTTGGCATGAATTACGATTTGCTTGTTTAAATATGAATTGATGATGCTTATTGAGGAAAAGGGAAATGAAAGATTATGTGAATGGAAATTGTATAATGTGTTCAGCCTGACTAGATATCCTGGGAGATGGTGGACGGACCGGGTTCGTAGGGAACCCTACCGGGATTGTGGTCTCCCATACCGGACGGGGTATGGAGATCTTATGGGTTTTGGCGCCCATACCGGACGGGGTATGGGGACGGCCCGTTTCACCCTCATACCGGACGGGGTATTGAGGTTTATGGTTTTGGCGCCCATACCGGACGGGGTATGGGGACGGCCCGTTTCACCCTCATACCGGACGGGGTATTGAGGTTTATGGTTTTGGCGCCCATACCAGACGGGGTATGGGGACGGCCCTGGAAACTGATTATGAATGTTAAAGGTTAACGGGTAGCGGGACCCCTATGGACCCCCATAGATACTAGTAGGCTGGTAAATGAGAAAATGATATGTTGTATAATGATTGAATTACAAAAGGTGTGATAAGTGCTATGTTTTACAGCTTATATTATTCCATGATTGTGATAATGTTATTGTTTTCTTATATTGTTTCATGAATTCCACCGAGGTAAGTGGATGGTAAAGGTTTTATCATAAATAAAACGAGTTTGTTATAAATCATGCTCCATTGGTCTTTTGTGTTTTTCTACCCACCTTTACCTCCGTGACGGTGAGATATCGTGATGTCATTACTGGGCTAGTGTAGCTCATTCCTTATTTAACCATTTCAGATCAGGAAGACATGGTTCCCGAGCCCGTTCCGCAGGAGGACGACGAAGGG